AAGGACCAAAGTCCATAGCTATCCTATAACAGTTAATATGCATGTATGATACAAGCTCTTGATCATCCAAGGTGACCTTGGTGTATATTACTTTGAATAATCAGTCTATCATATAAAAAAAACTGAAATTTATTAATTCTTGAAATTATTCTTAGCATAAAGAATATCAAAATTTTCTCAGTATCTTGCACAGAAGATCACCCACCCTGTGAAATACCTAAACAAATATGAAGTCAACTGAATAATAAATAGTACTACAAACTGGACATAAATTTCAGAAGTTTTTCCCCACCAAAATATACTGAGGAATGGGTACTTGCCATTTTATTTACCATGTTCACATTCTAGGCGCCTAAATAAATGTAATGAATTAATAGAAAAATCAAATTAAAATTCAGTTCAAATTTACATGGACTAGATTATTGAACTATTTGAAATTCAATTCTGTTGTAAAATATATTAACATTTAATTCTTATATTCTTTGGCTAATTCCATTTTTTAAATCTTTATATAAAAATTTAGAAATGACTACAGATTAAGACAACTCTGACCAAATGAAATTTAATAACATCAATAAAATGTAACAAGAAAAAGTACAATTCAAATGAAATAGAATTTAAAAATTCTGAAAATCATTAGAGATTGAGGGAATGGAATTTGCCTAATTTAAGTTTAATTAATTAAATACATTCCATTTATTTCTGAGAAACATTTTCCTTTGTTAAGACTAAAAATAAAAAAAAAAGGAGACTAGGCAGCAATGAATTATTCTTCAATATCAAAATGTCCTAATTTCCATACTGGCTTTAGTTTTCTATTAAATGAAAGTCCACAGGAGACATTCAGATAAATTTCTAAAATTACTACACTCAAAAGTCTTTAATCCGGACTCGTTGGGACTTCGGCGATTCCGGATTACAGATCATCAATTTAAATCTGGTAAGATGGCATGCAGAAAACATAAAATTAAAAATATGAAAACTTAATTTATGAAATAAAGAGCAATTATGATCTAAAGGGTATCAAAATATACAAAAAAATTATATTTTATTTGTTTACTTTATTAAACATTTCTTTCAACGCGCATGCGTAAAGAATACATTACGCATAGTCGAAATTAGAAAATTGCAATCAGAAAACTATTTGATGTGTATCCGTAATATAATGACGAGAAATTTGATTTAAATCATATCAAAAACGGAGTACATTGAGATGAAATACTACATTTAGTAAGGAATTATAAGCCGAATAAAATAAAAACATCTGCCCTGAATATAAGGATAGTGCTGACAGATCAACTTCCAGTTCATTGCGCGCTGTGATGTTCCTCCCCCCCGCAGAGCAGTGTAAAATTGATAAACAGATTTTGGAAAGGTTAGAGAAACAAAGGATATGCCTTTATACATTTTTTGCAGCAATTCCACTTTTTGTTTGATGGACATCAAAACATGCTTTCGCTTTGTAGATCCTTTGGCAGCTTCAGAATCAGAAATTCTTTTTGACATAAACTAAAGTTCAAGCTTACTTTTATAAAATTGCTCTAACAGTCCGCAAAAAATAATAAGCCGGATCCAATTAAAAGATTAAGGAACAACGCAATCTGCAACATTAACTGAATTAGATAATTTTAGCTTAGCTTATACCGTCCGTTATACATTAAACGATAATGCGCAGAAAGTTTGTAGCTTTGAGGTCCAGATTATAGATCATTCCGGATTATGGACGTCCAGATTAAAGACTTTGACTGTATTCTTATAATAGAAAAGGGGTGGTCACTGTATGCTGCAGAAAAGCTTCTCGAACAGAAAGGTGATGATAAAGAAAAACTAAGTTATTTTATGAACTTGAGCATACTCTCTATAGCCACACTTGGAAATTTTCATTTTTGGGGGGTTAAAAATCTATTATCACCTGTGCCACTAAAATGAAAGGTAAAGTTCAATAGGAAAATTTTTCACAGATAACAGCAAGTTTAACGAATTAATCAAATGAAAGAAAATCCAGAATGACTTAAAATTTACACACATGCTCAGACATTCATACCCAGAATTAAAAAAAAAAATTTTTTTTGTCAATAATGAAATTCTGAATTTAGTTTCAGTATTGCATGATAATCAAAACCAATACTTAAATGTCACTAACATATTTAATGAACTTTTGTCATTATGCAGAATGATACTGGCACAGCTATAACACACTGATTTTTACTTGAAAAAAAATGCTCAAATTTTTTTAGTATGATTAGTCTTCATACTAAAAAAATGCTGGATACATAGCTCAACCACTAAAAACTGCTATTGATTGGAAACTTGCCTTTACTAGAAAATCCACACGAGCATAGCCTTTATACTTTAATATCATAAATTACATGAAATAAATAAAACTATTAAAAACTAAATTCCATATTTATTCAAATTGGTAGGACCATCTGCTACTACTTTTTTTTTATCCTAAAAACAAATAATTATTAAATGATATGCATGGCTGGAAATTTATGAATACAGCAAATGACATACTCTTTAATAAATTCATTTCACATTTTGTTCCAACTGATCAATTTACTAGGAGAAAATTTAAATTATGGACATATCCCATATAATTAGCAGAATTCAGTAGTTAAGGTCAAACATTTCACCAATCTGTTTAAGCCTTGAATTTACCAATAATGATACTATAATTAAGGCCTTTTTACGAAAAGTTAACTTCTATGCAATCAAATAAAGCATGTTAACCTGCAAAACAAGGCACAGAAGTCAACCTTGAAATCTGAAAAATAGCAAGACTTCTGGGAGAAAGTAGAGAGATGCTTTTACGCTGCATGGCAACATTAAAAATATACTGACTTATACAGAAATATTTTAATGCCTTTATTTTTTAAATTGCTTCCAAATGAATTCGTTCTTAATTATATCCAAAAAATTAAAGATTAAAATTGCGATTTAAAAGGTCTACTAGACTTTTCGAGAAATGAAATACTCAGCAGAGAATGCACAGCTTATGTTAATTATAATTCTGAAGAGAAATTCTTGCAATTAGAAAAGCCACTACCTTTTCAAATTGAAACCTTTTCCCGACTGCGATATTTTAAGTTTAGAAATGAAAAGGCAGATGTTATTTATGTCTGGATAAAAGGTACAGAGTTAAAAAACTGCAAGCAAAAAGTAAAATTAGCTTCTATAATTAACAAACATTCGAAAGTGAATTGTTGGGCATTAAAATAACACAAACAAGAACTAATTATCATACTTATTCAAAAAAAGTACAAAGAGCAAATTCTATATAGACTAAATAAAAATAATATTCACAGGAAAAGTGCACAGCAAAAATGGATGAGAAAAATACACATGTATGAATAAATTTTCAAACTGATACATATTCAAAAGAACTGCATGACGAACAGCAACAACGAACTAGCTACACACAGAAATGGCATTTTTCTTGAATCATTAAATTTGGCACATAATCAGATAAAATAAAAATTTTCACACGTAAAAAGCAGACTTTTATCCTAGAATATAATAAAAAATTCAGTAATTAAGATCAGAAAATCTTTTACCAATCTGTTAGGCCAAGAACTTACCCGCATTAGTTTTAATGAATATTCTCAACAAATCGCATCTCAATCTGTCAAATAAACTGTGTTAATATGCAAAACAAGATATTAAATAATACAAACAAGAATTGACATATTTATTCAAAAGAGGCATAAAGAAGAACAATTTTTATGCAAACTAAGTAAAAACGGCACATTTACTTGAAATTTTCTCAAAAATTTACCAGCAAAAACTTGATGAATCTCTACATGAGCTAAAGAAAATACCGCATTCAACTTGAAATGAGTTCAGTCAGAAATTTACTAGCACAATAAAAAGAGACATGGAGGGAAAAAAAAGAAAAAACAAGAATTAATTTTTATATCTACTCCAAAAAAAAAAAAAATGCAGAATGAGCAGCAGCAACACAAAACAAAGTAGACAATTAAAAATAGTAATTTTAATGAATCGATCATTAATAATGAAATTCTGGGCATATACCACATAATCAGAGATAAAGTACAAATTTTCATACATAAACAGCAGATTTTATCCTACAATATGATTCAGTAATTAAGAGCAGGTAATATTTTACCAATTTGCTAGGCCAAGATCTTACCATCATTGGTTCTAATGCATTTTTCAACAAACAGCATTACACATCTGTCAAATAAACTGCATTAATCTGCAAAACAACACATTAAAAGAATACAACTAATTAACATATTGGCTCAAAAAAGGCATAACGAAGAGCAACTTCTACACAAATTCAGTAAAAATGGCACATTTACTTGAAATATCCTCAATCAAAAGTTTACTAGTAAAGCTTTTACATGTGTTAGAATTTTCGTGGTTACTTAAAAAAAATGGAAACAGTAATCTCTACACGACCTAAATGAAAATGGCGCATTTATCTAAAAACACGGTAATCGGCCAGAAATCTACCAGCACATAAAACAGAAAATGAGCATGAAAAAACATACGCATGCAAAAATTACTTTTCATATTTAATAATAAATATAAGATATAAAGCAAACACTTACCAGAGAAATAGAAACTTTGGTTATTTGACGAATAACCTGAAATTTGCCATTGCGCACATCTAAAAACAAACAACTTCAAATTAATCAAGCAAAATGTGTAAATTTGGAAAACAAGGTATTAAAAATTTACGATAGAATTTTAGCATACTTACGGATCAAAAACAGACCACTCTTCAACCACAGTTCCAGAAATAAGAATGAGCCGATGACGCCAAATTACTTGGCGAGAAAGTTATTAGTAGATCTTCATGCAACCCAGAGAATCTCGTAACTCCTCCCATTTTCCCCCTTTTTTTCTCGTGAAGATAACCTGTCAACAACGAATTCCGTGGGTAAATAGCTAGCGTTTTTAGAGATTCTTCTGTTGCATATTTAAAAGAAACAAATATTTATTCGAAGGAGAAATATGTTGAGTGCAAAAGAATGGGGACAGTTCCTTTCGAAATGATTGAATACATTATGAACTGTGACGAATTATCTTTTAAGGATATTTGTAGATTATCTTCAGTTTGTCGAATTTTCAATTGTATTGCCAAGAGTAACAAGCTATGGCAAAACAAGTACAAACTAACGTAAGTATATGTGTGATAAATTAAGTGTAAATTTGTTAAATATTATAGTTTTCTTCCCAAGTTAACATATATGATGATTTTAGAAACAGCCAGTTTGTAAGTAATTACTTTAAAAATTGAAGAATTATTGCTTGGTAAAAATTCGAATATTATTTTTCTGTTAAAATGCGTCATAATGATATGGTAAACTGATGCATAGTTATTTAAAACCCTTTGTTTCGTTTTACATTTGGCAGGCCAAAATGATGCCTTTGTACTTTGAAAGTTGCATGCATTAGACACAGTTATGGAAATTCCATGTGTAAAGTTACCTTTTTTCATTAATTACTAACTTGGTTTGCAAATATAAAATTTCAAAATCTAAATTTCGAATTTAATGAAGTTTAAACAGTGATAAGAAAAGCATACATTTTAAAGTTGTTTATGATAGCATATACCGTGAAAAGCTGCTTGAAGCTATACTGGAATTCGGATTTCCTACAGAATGACTGTAAAGAGAGTAAATTGCAGACTTAAAATCATGTCTGATCTATCAGAGGCATTGTACACTGAAAGAGGGTTGAGACAAAGTGATGTCTTTGCTCACATGTTTTTGAATATCACCCTTGAAAATGCTATTAGAGATCCCAAAATTTTAAATAGAGGCACCGTATTTCAGAGATCTATGTAGTTACTAGCATATGGTGATGACATCCATATGATTGGCAGATGTAAACAGGTCGTCTCTTAACAATAACAATATTAAACTTGAATTTGGCAGTAGATAATTTAGAGCTAATAGATGTTTAAAGAATTTATTAGTATTTAAATTATTGAACTTCAGGATAAAAGTAAATCGTTTTACGGCTCTTATCAGACCTATCGTATTGTATGGTAGTGAATGCTGAGCGTTAACAAAAACAGATGAAGAAAGACTTCTAATCTTTGAAAAAAAAAAAAAAAAAAAAATACTGCCCATTAACAAAAACAGATGAGGTTGATCTTTACATTACGGTAACTGGTAGTTTGGCGACATTTTGGAGGCGATAAAGGTTACTACCTGGGACTTTGGTAAATGTGAGCAGTACTGAGTTCCGATTACGCATTATTTTGTGTGGGGGGAATGAGAGATCATGGGATATGTCATGTGATATTAATGGACGAATTACGGTTCTTTAATTGGAAAAGGGGGGAAATCGGGAAAAAATCTGGAAATTTTGTATTTGGCTTTATTCTGTGTTGTGTGAAAATAGTGTTTGTGAATTTTTGGATCCCATGGCCCGTAAGTAAAGTGAATTCGAAATGGGTATTTAGTGGTATTGAAAAGGATAGTAAGAAATGTTTTTTTAAGGTTGTGTGAGAGAGAAATAAACATGTTTTTATTATGTTATTTTTTTTATTTTACTTGGTATCTTGCTTGAAAGATAAGTATGATTTTAAAGATTCTGAAAGAAGAATGAAAAGTGTATCCGCCACGTAATGAAGATTCTGAAGGAGATAGGTAAGTTAGTATTTTTAATTATTTTTATGCATTGTTTGGAAATGTAGGTGGAAAGGAATTTGGATTATTGGGAAATTGTTATTAGCAATGATTTAGTTTAAGTAATTAGGATTGTAAGGTAATTTTATTAATTGAATGTATGTTCTTCATGTAATTTTAAGTGGTGTTTTTGAATTTAATTATATTTTAATGAAATGATAGTTATTTTGTGAATTTATACTTGTAGGAATTGGTGTATGTTTAAGTTGAAATAAATGTGCATGGAAATAATTTAAATATTTGTAATGCTCATGTATGAATTCGTTGGTGACGTGTATAATGTAATAGATGATTTAGAGGTAAAAAGTTTTTGGATATTTTTATTTATTTTATATGTGGAAATGTTCATATTTGTAAGGGTAATACTTTTTCGCGATCATGTAATTTCATATATGTTCTTTTTTTTTACCCGGGTTTAAAGATTGAGAAAATTGTCATGTATTTTCGTGAAATTTTTTTAATTTATGAGATAAAAGCAGTGTACATGGATATAGTGAAGAGTGTGCGCATGCCATTTTTGTGTGCAATTCTGGGATGTTTTTTTAAATAAAAATAAGTCGACGTGTACATGGTTCAGTGATATTTTAATGAAATGATAGTTATTTTGTGAATTTTATGCTTGTAGGAATTTGGTTTACGTTTAAGTTGAAATAAACGTGCATGGAAATAATTTAAATATTTGATACTAAATATTTGTAATGCTTCATGTATGAATTCGTTGGTGACGTGTATAATGTAATAGATGATTTAGAGGTAAAAGTTTTTGGATATTTTATTTATTTTATATGTGGAAATGTTCATATTTGTAAAGGGTAAACTTTTTTCGCGATCAGGTAATTTCATATATGTTCTTTTTACCGGGTTTAAAGATTGAGAAAATTGTCATGTATTTTCGTGAAATTTTTCGAATTTATGAGAAAAAAGCAGTGTACATGGATATAGTGAAGAGTGTGCGCAATGCCATTTTTGTGCAATTCTGGGATGTTTTTTTTAAGTAAAAATAAGTCGGGCGTGTACATGGTTTATGTGTATGTGTTATTTTGAAAACGCGTAAGGTGTATGGTATTGTGCACTTTTTTTTCCTTTTTGCAATTTTGCAGTGAATATTTGTCATGATTAAGCAGTTTTGTTTGATAAAATTTCTAGCATAAGTGTAATTCGGCTAGTAGATTGTTGGAAGAAGTGTTCAGTAGATAAGAAGAAAAGAAACATGTCTTTACTTCGTGAAGACAAAATGGCGGCGGGGAAAAAAAATAGAGGGTTGCTGTAGGGGAGTTGATCGCCAAATTTTCGCCAAAAAATCGCCAAGTTATGGTAATGTAAAGATCAACCACAGAGGAAGAAAGGCTTCTAACCTTTGAAAGAAAAATATATAGAAGATACAAATGGCTAAAATGCAGAATCGCCCACTTATTTGTTTGGCGCTTTTTACAAGAGTAAGAAGAATTGGATTTTTGTCAATTTTCTTTGACTTTTTAAAAGAAAATAGGTCAATTTGTATATGCATAAAGTCAAGAGTGTGCACAATGTAATTTTTGTGCAATTCTGGGATGTTTTTTTAAGTGAAAATAGGTCGACATGTACATGGATACCGCGTATGTGCAATTCTTAAAAACGTGCCAAGCAGGGGGAATTCTGCATTTTCACCGATACAAACAACCTAATATTGTCCGAGTCATTAATTCTTGTCATATTAGGTGGCATAATTTTAGATACGACAACTTGAACCCTGTTAAAAAGGTGACCTTTGCAAATGTATAGGGTAATGGTTGGTCGACCACAGGGACTGATCGGATCCGTACGAGAAAGCTTGTTGAGACAGCCTTGGCTTATGATAGGTTGTAGTGCAATTGAAGAAGAAAAACCATATTTTAATCTTGGGATAAACCTAAACCAATGGGCACCCAATTGTAAACTTTTACCATTTTTTTAAGTGAAAACTGATCGATGTGTACATGGACACAGAGTTTGTGCGATTTGGTTTGGCGTAGCGGCCATCTTGAAATTGTGCCTTCCTAGCGCCGATCTTGGCATCAAAAAAGAATCACCAAAGAACAATGGGCACCCAATTGTAAACTTTTACCAAGAAGTCAAAGAATTGCACAAACTCTGTGTCCGTGTACACATCGATCTGTTTTCACTTAAAAAAATCCTACGATTGCACAAACTAGGCATTGCGCACTGCCTTAAATTTGTCCATGTACACATCAATCTATTTTCATTTAAATAAAATCAGGATGCTAAAACAAAGTTAAAACTATCATGGTAACCAGAAATGAGGTTTCATTGCCAAAATTTTTTAAAAATTCTCACTAATTGAAGGGGCACCCAATTCTACACTAGAGCCGACTTCTTATTTTGGTTTTGCGTAGCGGCCATCTTGAAATTGTGCCTTCCTAGCGCCGATCTTGGCATCAAAAAAGAATCGCCACAGAACAAGGGGCAGCCAATTGTAAAATTTGGGTTTTCATCCGCAGAGAACCCGTTGGCGCTTCGGGAGCAAACCCTTTGGCGCCGTTAAAATACTCGCCAAGCTCGCGTTTCATCGACGCTGAGGCGAGCCGTAAACGTGATATTTTGTAAACGTGATTTTTAGTGCATGTAAATTCTAGTTAGCAGACTAAACAATATATTAAGCATATGGTAGTAAAAATTCACAGATAATAAGCATGTAGATGTAAACTACAGGTTAAAACGTGATATACGGAAATAAATGGTATTAAATTTAAACAGAAATTATTATTAAATTATTAACTTTTGTTATGAATTTTGCTGATTATGATACTTCTCATTTTAACCTATGCCATTTGACATAAATCAACCTGCTACTTACTAAACGCTAGCCTGACCAAGTATTGACATTATGAGACATAAAAAAAAAAGTTACATAAGTTAGTAAAATTTAAATGTCACTTCTTTCAAATATGCCCAACTATTATAAGTGTAAATATTTAATGCTACTTGATCAATTACTTAAAGTTTATTTCATTTTCAACTTATTAATATTCTGTTAATTCATATTTATTAATAATACATACTACTTATGGATCTATTTTATTTTAGGAGGTATTACAAATGTGAAATGCAGGCATCGCTAATATTTTTAATTGAATTTATTCAGTTCGCGTTTACTCATAGGTCCTGAATTTTTTTCATTAATGGTCCTTAATTTCTGTGTGCAGAAATGTGTATGAACTCTGATTAACAGTTTTCAGTATTTTTTAAAAATTTTTTTTTTTAAGTTACTTGCATGCAGGTTAAAGCAATTTACATTGAACAAATACCATCCTTTTCATAATTTATTTCACAATACTAATAACCTTCAACAGTAATCAAATTTTCTTTTTCTTCAGTAGCATTGTTAATAAAACTTGACATTACACATTTCATTACTTTCAAGAGTCATTTGAACTATATTCCTTACACCAGCAGTGGTTTGCTAATTTTGATGACCGTGGGAATAACATCAAACTATTCTGTC